ACACGAATTTTTTTGGAAAACTTTAAATGGCTATATCTCGCCCAAATAAAGCCCGATTACGGTCAAAAAGGGAGGGGTTACTCGCGTAGGTCCGTAGAAACCGCCAAGATCAACGGCGAAGTTATGTCGCTTTGAAACGTCATATCTCCAAGATTTTTTTAGAGCGGCGGAGATATGACGTTTTAAAGCGACATAACTTCGACGTTGATCATGGCGAGACTATGTCGTAAATATCGTGTCCACAACCACACGAATTTTTTTAGAAAACTTTAAATAGCTATATCTCGGCCAAATAAAGCCCGATTACGGTCAAAAAGGGAAGGGATACTCGGGGAGGTCCATAGAAACCGCCAAGATCAACGGCGAAGTTATGTCGCTTTGAAACGTCATATCTCCAAGATTTTTTTAGAGCGGCGGAGATATGACGTTTCAAAGCGACATAACTTCGCCGTTGATCATGGCGAGATTATGTCCTAAATATCGTGTCCACAACCACACAAATTTTTTTAGAAAACTTTAAATGGCTATATCTCGGACAAATAAAGCCCGATTACGGTCAAAAAGGGAAGGGCTACTCGGGAAGGTCTATAGAAACCGCCAAGATCAACGGCGAAGTTATGTCGCTTTGAAACGTCATATCTCCAAGATTTTTTTAGAGCGGCGGAGATATGACGTTTCAAAGCGACATAACTTCGCCGTTGATCATGGCGAGATTATGTCGTGAATATCGTGTCCACAACCACATGAATTTTTTTGGAAAACTTTAAATGGCTATATCTCGGCCAAATGAAGCCCGATTACGGTCAAAAAGGGAGGGGTTACTCGCGTAGGTCTATAGAAAATGCCAAGATCAACGGCGAAGTTATGTCGCTTTGAAACGTCATATCTCCAAGATTTTTTTAGAGCGGCGGAGATATGACGTTTCAAAGCGACATAACTTCGCCGTTGATCATGGCGAGATTATGTCCTAAATATCGTGTCCACAACCACACAAATTTTTTTAGAAAACTTTAAATGGCTATATCTCGGCCAAATGAAGCCCGATTACGGTCAAAAAGGGAAGGGCTACTCGGGGAGGTCCATAGAAACCGCCAAGATCAACGGCGAAGTTATATCGCTTTGAAACGTCATATCTCCAAGAAATTTTTAGAGCGGCGGAGATATGACGTTTCAAAGCGACATAACTTCGCCGTTGATCATGGCGAGATTATGTCGTAAATATCGTGTCCACAACCACACGAATTTTTTTGGAAAACTTTAAATGGCTATATCTCAACCAAATAAAGCCCGATTACGGTCAAAAAGGGAGGGGTTACTCGCGTTGGTCCGTAGAAACCGCCAAGATCAACGGCGAAGTTATGTCGCTTTGAAACGTCATATCTCCAAGATTTTTTTAGAGCGGCGGAGATATGACGTTTCAAAGCGACATAACTTCGCCGTTGATCATGGCGAGATTATGTCGTAAATATCGTGTCCACAACCACATGCATTTTTTTGGAAAAGTTTAAATGGCTATATCTCGGCCAAATAAAGCCCGATTACGGTCAAAAAGGGAGGAGCTACTCGGGGAGGTCCATAGAAACCGCCAAGATCAACGGCGAAGTTATGTCGCTTTGAAGCGTCATATCTCCAAGATTTTTTTAGAGCGGCGGAGATATGACGTTTCAAAGCGACATAACTTCGCCGTTGATCATGGCGAGATTATGTCGTGAATATCGTGTCCACAACCACATGCATTTTTTTGGAAAAGTTTAAATGGCTATATCTCGGCCAAATAAAGCCCGATTACGGTCAAAAAGGGAGGGGTTACTCGCGTTGGTCCGTAGAAACCGCCAAGATCAACGGCGAAGTTATGTCGCTTTGAAACGTCATATCTCCAAGATTTTTTTAGAGCGGCGGAGATATGACGTTTCAAAGCGACATAACTTCGCCGTTGATCATGGCGAGATTATGTCGTAAATATCGTGTCCACAACCACACGAATTTTTTTAGAAAACTTTAAATGGCTTTATCTCGGCCAAATAAAGCCCGATTACGGTCAAAAAGGGAAGGGCTACTCGGGGAGGTCCATAGAAACCGCCAAGATCAACGGCGAAGTTATGTCGCTTTGAAACGTCATATCTCCAAGATTTTTTTAGAGCGGCGGAGATATGACGTTTCAAAGCGACATAACTTCGCCGTTGATCATGGCGAGATTATGTCGTAAATATCGTGTCCACAACCACACGAATTTTTTTAGAAAACTTTAAATGGCTATATCTCGGCCAAATAAAGCCCGATTACGGTCAAAAAGGGAAGGGCTACTCGGGGAGGTCCATAGAAACCGCCAAGATCAACGGCGAAGTTATGTCGCTTTGAAACGTCATATCTCCAAGATTTTTTTAGAGCGGCGGAGATATGACGTTTCAAAGCGACATAACTTCGCCGTTGATCATGGCGAGATTATGTCGTAAATATCGTGTCCACAACCACACGAATTTTTTTAGAAAACTTTAAATGGCTATATCTCGGCCAAATAAAGCCCGATTACGGTCAAAAAGGGAAGGGCTACTCGGGGAGGTCCATAGAAACCGCCAAGATCAACGGCGAAGTTATGTCGCTTTAAAACGTCATATCTCCAAGATTTTTTTAGAGCGGTGGAGATATGACGTTTCATAGCGACATAACTTCGCCGTTGATCATGGCGAGATTATGTCGTAAATATCGTGTCCACAACTACACGAACTTTTTCGGAAAACTTTAAATGGTCATATCTCGGCCAAATAAAACCCGATTACGGTCAAAAAGGGAGGGGTTACTCGCGTTGGTCCATAGAAACCGCCGCTCTAAAAAAATCTTGGAGATATGACGTTTCAAAGCGACATAACTTCGCCGTTGATCTTGGTGGTTTCTATGGACCTCCCCGAGTAGCCCTTCCTTTTTTGACCTTAATCGGGCTTTATTTGACCGAGATATAGCCATTTAAAGTTTTCCAAAAAAAATTCGTTTGGTTGTGGACACGATATTTACGACATAATAATAATCGACATAATCGACATAATCTTATGTCGCTTTGAAACGTCATATCTCCAAGATTTTTTAGAGCGGCAAATACGGGATGGGTATTCAAAAAGGTATAACATTTCAAAATCAGACATTATTTACACGAGAAATTAAAAAAAATAATCGAAAAAGTTTCGATTTTCGCACCGACCTTTATTTTGAAGTGGGATATGTCGTTTTGAAACGACATACCTCCGCGCGGAGCTATTACCCGAGTTATTAAAAAAATCATCGAAAAAGTTTCGATTTGCGCGCCGACCTCGATTTTGAAAAAAACGTGAATAATCCCTTGCCATTTTGTCGACTTGGGTCAAAATTTTGTATATCCTTTTATTTGATGCCAATCGATAGAACTGATCCTTACGAGTCAAAAATGGTATGAAATTGCAAAATCTGACATTATTTGACGGAAATATTCCAAAATATCATCAAAAAGATGGAAATTACGAACGAATCGGTTTTTTGTCTACAACATTTTGCAACCCATCGATGTTTAATTTGTTTGAATGCCAATTGATGGTAGGAATCCGTACGTATTCAAAAAGGTATAACATTTTAAAATCTGACATTATTTACCCGAGATATTAAAAAAAAATAATTGAAAAAGTTTCGATTTTCGCACCGAGCTTTAGTTTGAAGAGAGATATGTCGGTTTGAAACGTCTCTAGGAAAGAGCCTTGTCCGGGGGGAATGTTGATCGACTCTTTATAAAAACATCCGCATTCGGTATCATTTTGAACAGAAAACTCAAGTTCAGCATACATATAACAATGGTCCAGCAAACACTACTTTACTTTACTTCGCTTTAAATCGATCGGACGTTGAAAAAAAATTGTATACAACCATTTTCCGCTAATTTACCACTGTTACGGGTGAAATTTATCAAATCGCTGCGATACGTATTCATTAAATTCTTTATCTATGTATTTGACATAATGTATTAAATACTATAACCCTTCGTTATGTATATGACATTTCGACAATATTGACTGACAGACATGGTTAGATCCTCCATCGTTCACGCTGATTAAGAATATATAAGTATATTTAAATACAATTTCCAATAGCAAAGGCTTCGTTTAGTAGAAAATACATATATCCTCCTTTGAGATTAGTAAAAATTTGTTGTGATGGCAAAACGTATTTAATCTAAAATCCTTTACCAAGCTTGTAATCATTGCTGTCAAATAAATGACTGTCTAAATAACGTACGTTAATCCATTGGTTGGTACCAAATCGGCGATGCCACTAATGGCCAATAAGCTGCCACCAGCATGGGATGGATACCCGTTAAAGCACTTTTTGTCCGCACTTTCATTGGAGTTTTATAAAACATGATTATTTTCTCAATGAGACTATAGATTTCATTCATCAGTCCAGAAATCATTTGCTTCTAAAGTGAACGCAATGACTGCCAAAACTGAACTAATTTAAAAAATTATAGAAAGATTTGGCTGAGCCACATCTGATCAAATCAGCTGGTGTACATGTACATTTACTAAGAAGTGTCAGTGTACTAAAAAGTTAAACGAATGGCAATGCTTCGGTTTATTTTTACGTTCCACTGAGTGGCGATCAAAGAGGGAGAGTCACAGAGAGTCAGAGAGCTAAAGTTAAAGTTTGTTTTCTTTAGCCGTAAAACAAGTTTTTCGATTTTGTTTCGCTCAAGAGATTGAGCAAAGCTTCAAAAAGTGAACTCTGTTCAGTAGTATATACACTGTGTTGATATTCGCAACGTCGGCGCGTATGTTTCATGTCGGCTGGATAGCAAATTGAGAAAGTTTTATCGATACCAGTTTTCTATTATCTTGTATTCAAAACATATACATGTGATTTTGTAAGAACATGCACAGTCAATGCACATAAAGAAATCTACTCAAATATAAATATATACTTAAATAAATATTGAATATATTAATTTATTTATGTAATAATAGTTAATGTAAATGGGATGGGAAAGGCCCATGATATCCATCTAAAGTTAACGTTTTTATTATCTTATTAATGTGTTCGTAATGTATATATGTACAAATTTAACAAAACTTATACTACGTGCGCGAGTGACGTCATTGACAAAAATGAATAGTTGGAAAGAATATATTTAAAGTTTGCTTAAATATTACATGAGAGCATATTCATTTAGTATGTTAAGGTAGTTTCAACAGAGCTTGTTTTGAATGTCTTGACGAAATTACATGTATCTGATTTTGTGTCTCCCTTACACACTAGCCTTGACTTTTCGCTCACTCATTGGGTATGACCAGCGATTGCACCATGCAGCCGTATATGAGCAAAAGAGAAATTAGCTTCCCCTTTTGATGCTTGTCACTTACCGCTTACCGCACATATACATAGATGTATATACTGTATATTAAGCCACGATCTATTAACGCGCCAATCAATAGTCAAAGGACTTTGTACTCAGCAACTGTCTATATCAGACATTTAGGAAACAGCATTAGCTTTAACGCTTACGTCATTAGTGTTCAGGAGGACTTATTTATCAGTTGGCGGAGACGATGATTGAGTTTGGGTACGAAAGGTATTTCAATTATGTTATTAAATGTGCTATACTTGGTCTATCTCCTTAAACAAAGAGTATTAAATGCTTACTCAGTATCAACAACCTTTCATAAAGTCTGACTGTTTATTGCAAACTTTGCAAAAGCTCGCTTTTCTATTATAGGCACTGCTTAGGTTGGATCCGGCCGGGTCAAAATATATGTTCTTCCTTACTTTTTACATAGGCCAAATCTGATCAATATCGGGCTACTCTATTATGTAGCAATATAGGAGGAATTTGGCAAAAAATAAGCATTTCAACTATATGACTGTTTGCGTATTTATTCTTTGGCATGCTGAAACAATTATATTTATATTTTCATTACTATATTTATGCTGTTTTCCAATAGCATTAAGGTGCGTATATTTTTAAAATTATTAACAACTGGCGTTTGCCATTCGTTTCATTGACAGGTTTGCCGCTCAGGCGGTTAAGAGAACTATGGATTATCAACATGGGTGGCATTTCATCTCTAAGCCTAGAACCTCGACAACTTCGTCACGGAGGAGCATTAATTTCATAATTTTGATGTGTTTGGTTACCATTAATGTGCTTTTTGTTGCTGAAGGTAAGCATTTGTTTGCTGTCTAGCAATCAGGGAGTTAAGTAAAGAATGACAGACAATTCGACATTAATAATTGTTCTTAATATAGTATAACCCTAGTTTAACGTTATCTTCTTAACATACCACTTAAAAGAGGGTAGCTTCTACCAATTACCTTCAAATACAGAATGCTTAAGTGTTTGTCTTAAAGGAGTTTTGGATTTTTTGTTTCATTCTTCAATTGAAACACGCAGTCCTAAACGGCCTATGCTTAAAACTATTAATTGTGTTTGTGCTTTGTATTGGTTACGCACTTACCTTTGTGCCAATGACCGAACTCAACAAAGCAGCAAACTTCGCATATATGCGTGTGCTTGAACTTCAGATGTTGGTGACTAATAATGGCTACGTTCAATATGACTTGATCTATGATCAATTTTATGATCGATTTGATCTTTCTGGTAAACTGAATGCTACTTTAGACTAATTCTTTTAGCTGTTTGAATCGAAAGGCTTTATATATTTATCAATAATTTTAACTCATATGTATATAAACAATCGCCTGCAACGTATTTTTGTTACTTAATAACAACTGCAAAATTATAATTAAATTTAGGGTAAACAACATGGCATTATCAGAAATATTTATCATCACCCGGGAAGTGTCACCCGTCTAATCATTTTGTGATACTTGATCATTGAACATGTTTTCTGGCGATCGTGGCCAATGAGAAGAAGTCACGGTCAAGGTAAAATACTTCCAGCTCGCAGCTTGAGCAGTTCCAATTACAAACCACAGCATCTAGTGTGGGTTTTCAAGATAATAATCGTTGCGCAGTCATGGCATGAACATTATTGTTGCGAGCACACCAATCTCAAACAGTGAGACAGAGATGGTTACTGAACGACATAGATGATGATACTTATCTCTAAAATATTAACTGAATGGGTTTCAGGATGTCTCCCTTACAAATTCCTGTCAAATGAATGTTACATTATATATACATCATATCGTCAATGAAAATATATAATGTAAATGCATGCCACATCCATAGGGCAGCATTTTCTAATTGCCCTTATCAGGACGAAGCTTTGAGTTGATGTCCTTCTGTCTGTATGGTAAAATATTAGAGAATATATAGAAGCAGAAGATGTTGATAAGATAAGCATATTTCTGAGAATATCTGTAGCACCAGTTTTTTGTTAAGTAAACTAGATTCAAGAAAATTTTGATTTTCAAATGCCCTTTGGCTTCAAAAAACGTAAGAAAGTGAGAATGGTCCTCTCGGTAGTGCACGAATAAACGATACTCTAAACTGTGCCAGCTAAGGTCCGTTAAATTCGGCTCACCAAAGATATATATATTTATGATCAACAATATATGTATTTACTTGATGTGAGGTGTCTTACATACAATTGCACAAAATACACTTAATAGGATATAACTGCATCCAAACTGGTTATGTTTACATACTCGGACACTGGCGGAGCGTAATTTAATTCATCAACTCGAAATCACTCTCCCGGCAATTTGAACACGCTGTTTGCTACGTCAAGATACACATAATATTTAAAAAGTTTGTGCGTCCGAATGACTATGTATCTGAAGGTCGTGTGTTAAGAAGTAAAAACACAACAGAAAAAGAGAACCGGTTTGAAAATTCGAAGAATATTCGACAGCTTTTGCTCTTAACGCAACCATTATATGAGAGTTCAATGTAGTAGCACAATTCGCCTAATAAATCTATGCGTGTAAACAACGAAGCCATTGCAGTGTTCTGGCTCGACTAACCCTAGCTGATGTTCAGTTTCTTTACATACATATGTAATTATATCGGGTGGCTGCTGTTCCTTTGCGCGTTATAAAAGTTTTCGGTATCAATAGGTTGTAAAATAAGTTGGATTTATTGTCAAGTAAACGATTTTCAAATATGTGCTTAACCAAAATGAAACTAAATTCAGATATGCACATATTTATCAAAGCTATACACTGATATAATAGAAATTTGATAGTTTCAAATGCAGTTTTTGTTTGGGCCAATCCGTAACTCAGTAAACCAAATATCTACAAGGGTGTTTTAATTTAATTGACTCGGCTGGAGATCCTATCTAAATCTGACTGAGAACTTTTGTGACAATCTTGCTAAATACTGATCAATTTGTAACATATACGACTCCATATACACCCACTTCAGTTGGATATCTGGGTATAGTTAACCCTCAACCTTATTTGCCATTGTGCATTAAACCAATAAAAATGGGTTAAAGGGTACTAATATATTTGTGCAAATGTATGTAAAGTATATACATATGTATATTCTTGATCAGAATCAATAGCTAAGTCGATCTGGCCATGTCCGTCCGTCTGTCCGTTCGTCTGTCCGCATGTATAAACGCAAGCTGTAGGTCCTCCTAGTCCATGCGTAGTACGAGTTTGTTTTCGATACAAATATATAGCGAAATGCTGTTTTTTGAAAAAAGCTTATAATTTTAATAGCTAGAGTAATATTGCCCACCAACATGTATTGCAAATTTTTGCGAACATGTATGTGGAAGAGGACTCCTACACAATTCACAAAATTAAACAAAACTATAATTGCTTCTACTAAATAAATTATATTATAGCTCGTGGCAATCTGAAATTATGTCCTCATCAGACGTTTTCTTCAATATACTGATGCAAAAAGTCCCTTTCTGCCCTAATATGTTTTTGAATTATCTCACACAAAATATTGTTTCGTATCGAAGTAAATGTACGTCAACGCAATTTAAATAAGTCTGTAAATCGGTATGCGTTGTCATTTATTGAGAGAAGTGTAAGCGAAGTGTATCAAGTATAATTTTAAGATGTATTTATAACTGTATCAGATAATTGTAACTTTAAATTGTAAACTATTTTTAAATTGTACAGCTGTTGGACAGGATCAAAATGCGCCGCCAATTTTATATGTTCGAGAGCGAAACTGGCGAATTTCGGAAGCAGAAGAGGTGGGCCAGATTATTGACCGTGTTCGTGCCGAAGATGCTGATGGCGATGATTTGGTATTCGGAATCGAACCACGTTTCCTCTCTCCAATTGGAGCAAATCAACAGGCCAACACACCAAGCAAACTGCCCTTCCGCATTGATCCCAATACGGGTGTGGTCTACCTCAACGAAAGTTTGTTGGGACGCGTAAGTAAAAATTAAAACTTTTATTTTACATATAAGTATGTTTTGGTCAGTTTAACAAGCATAATTAATAAATTGAAAACCCTTCGCCGATGTCAGTCTGCCCTTAAGGCTTACACCTTACATTCACCCTAAGAATAAGATTGTAATGCAAAAACTGAACATCCGTATTGTACCATGCATATATATTCGTATATTCGCAAAAGCCAGCAACCTTAAAATTTTTCTTGATCAGCATCAATAGCCGAGTCAATCTAGCCATGTCCGTCTGCGTGTCTGTCCGTCCGTCCATCCGTCGATCTCAGAACCTATAAGCTAGAGTACAGCGCTGGAAAATCTACCTTCAACATTTCAAGCCTCTAGCTCTTATAGCTTTCAGATAGACGCGTTCATATATACATACAGACAGACGTACAGCCCATTATATCCTTTTCATATATATAATGTATATATGATTAAACGCATTGTGGACTTATAAGTAAAGTAATATGTCAAATTTCTTTTTGTTTTACAGGCCGGTGAAAATTTTCTAATTTACATAACTGTCTCAGATGGCCGGTACACCGCCAAAAATGAAGTGTTCATTAACATACTGGGACGCCGGGAAAGCAATGGATTTCAGGGCTTTGGATCTCGTTCACCGCCATCTATTTCTAACGTAGTGCAGAACATTTCCCAGTTTTTGCCCTCATTCGACCAGCTACCAGGAGTACAGTCGATTAGAAATGGCTTGCCAAACAGGCGGCCGGACATCAATGGCGCCAACTTCGGATTGCCAAATTATACAAAATTTTATACACCAGTATCAACACAAGATTTGAGTCAAAGAGAAGATGCGAACTTAATAGAATCAGAGCCGACAGTGGCATCTGTCTTGCCACAATCAACAAAAGGTTCCACTCTGCCGACGTCGCGAAGTCGCATTAAGCTGATACCAATAGCAAATTACACCTCAGAAAAGTCGCTTGTATCTCAGTCAGAGTCAAAAACCAATGATAAAAAGAATGTCGATGAAACTAAGGCACTCTTCAGCATTAACTCATTCTCAACACCAATTATAATAGGAATTTGCGGAATTCTTGCAGTAGCTGTAGTTATTTTCGCCTTTGTCTGTCGCCGTCACCTATGCGCTATAAGCAAAACGATGAAAAAGACTAAGGAGAAGGAAGAGCTGGCCAAGAAGTCCAATCCTAGTCAACTTAGCAACACGCTTACAAACGACAGTCGCAATTCGATGGTTATGCAACAGTGGCAAGGTCCTGCCGCCTTCGCAAATCGCTATGTGCCCTGGGAGCGGGAGCAACAGCTTGGAATAACGGTGACTAAATCTAATTAGCGGTGGAAAGCCAATGCTATTTTTACCGTGAAAGAAGGGCTATCTTCGGAACGCCGAAGATTTAATACCCTTGCTGACCCAACATTTTCATTATGCTCATAGTGCTTTGACCGTATCTAAGAAGCATAAGGAAATTAGTTGATTCCAAGTCAAGATATCTTGATAAGCAAAAGAGTTTGGCAGCTATATGATATAGTGGTCCGATGTCAATAAGATTTTGCTAAAAAGTAGGGAGCATAGTAAGACTTATAAGTGCCGAGTTTGGTCAATATATCTTTAAAAACAAAAAAGTTTTCAATATAACATCATTATTTTCTGTACGATATAGTGGTTTCGAGTGTCAAAGTGTCATAACAATAGCTTTGACAGACTAGTTCGCATAGAAACAGACAGGCGGACGGACGAACAGACGGACATATATCGACTCGGGTGTTGATACTGATCAAGAATACATATATAAACTTCATGGGGTCGGAGATGTCTCCTTCTTGCGTTGCACATTTAACGACACCAAATTGCAGTTTAAATAATATACAAGCAAAAGGTCTTGAACAGTTCACATCATAAGGAAATCATAGAAATTCACAAGAACAAGTGAGCCCACCCATCATATGAAGCAGTATTTAGCGTAATTTAGAAATATAAATTTTAAGATATTAATTGAATCATTTTCAAATGTTTCCCTATTTTTCAAATCATTGGCGCACAACGCATGTGAAACAATCAACGATAACAATAACATTGTTGATGATAATGATAAAAATTAATTATCCGGACCAACCTAAAACAACGTCGCCTCCAACAACAACTTAATTATGGAACCAACTACAATATCATTGCGGTGTCGCAGTCACCGACTAGTGCCGCAAATAACGTGGATGTTTTATCGGTCGCTTCCACTGTGCAAGCTGCTGGCTCAGGTGCCTCATTACCCAAAGGCCGTGCCGTTTCAATGGAAGGAGGCTTAGGCACTGACGACAACACCGATCAGTGGGAATTTCCAAGACACCGATTGAAGTTCTTTAATATATTGGGGGAAGGTGCCTTTGGGCAAGTGTGGCGCTGTGAAGCAACCGATATTGATGGTAAGTTTATTATTATTATTATTATATAAAAATAACAACTGTGGAACAAGTTGTAATAACATGTGAACGAACATAGACAACATATGATAAAAAACATTTAAGTTTTTAAAATACTATAAAAATACCCCTACATTCATTCACATTATATGTAAACTATTATCAATTCAATTATCAATATGCCATAGAGATAAGGATATAAGGGTAGACTATGGGTTTTAAAGGACTAGCCAATCTGTAATCGATAGCAAACATAGTACTGGGAGGTTCTTACAAAAAACTTTGTAATATTGATTTTTAAATTTCCATTCTTGTCCCAATAGGCTCTGGAGGTGTCACTACAGTTGCTGTTAAAACTCTGAAGGAGAGTGCAGATGAAGTTGAAAAAAAAGATTTGCTTTCCGAATTGGAGGTAAGTAAATCAGATATATTTATAATTTTATAAGTGTAATATAAACCGTTCAATATTTCCCTTAGTCGAAATACAAATAAGAGTGCTCTAGCCAAGATTGTCCGATAATGTTATACTCTTATGTATATGTTCTGAACTGCCTGCGTCACAAGGCACAATTTTAATGCAATTGTCTTTTCGAAAATACGCAAATATTCCATAGCACAATGAGATATAATATTGAAATTTTTATCAAGATCGGT